GGGCGGGATCTGTGGCTGGCGGCCCTGGTGGTGGTCCTACCCACTCTAGAACAGGCCCCAGTGGCATCGGAGGACAACTGAGGAGAGGTGGAAGCCCAGCGCTGTCCCTGGTAATAGAACGATCCGCCATGTAAGCTAGGTTGAAAGGGCTCAAGCTCATGTTCACTGAAATACCAAATGCTGATCGCAATCGAAGCAGGAGACCGTGAGAGATCAAACTTGTGCTCCAGTAGAATGGTGGTGAACCGACCTCCATGGAGCAATGAATCTGGTGATTTTACATCCCTGTAGATGGGAAAATGAAGCCATGCCCAGCCAGACTGTTTGTAGGCGTGAAAAAGGCTCCAAAATGGCTCCCGCAACTAACAGCACGGGCGGGAGATTCAAAGGCTGCCGCCAGAATGGAGAAAGCCTGCCTTATATCTTGCCAGCAACCGCAGCTGCAGCTTCCAGAAGCTCTCGAGGTCGAGGTAATACAGAGAGACCAGCCATATGGCATTGCCAGGCAACCTTGGGGGGAAGGAGAGGGGGCGACGGATAGCAGCTAGAGTGAGCGGGGTGGGGCGCCAAACCAATCCCCAGCCTCCCTCGGCAAGACAAAACAAAGGCGGCGAACCAACCTTCCCACAACAAACAACGGCATGCTCTCGCCTCCAATTAAGAGGTTCCCTGGCTCTGAAGGCTCCGGGAACACTAAAATCCAATTGCCACTTCAAACGAAGAGAAAACGAGAGGAGCTCAAGCTGGTGAAGGGAATCCAAGCTGAATAATGATAATGATGAATTTGTCTAGTCACCCAGAGAGAATAATTTTGCATCTCTTTAGAGTTAAAAAACTGAACCAGTTCAGTCAGAGGAGGCGTGGCCAGCAATTTGCATAACTCAGTCTCAAGGCTAATGGACAAAGTTAACCCATGCTTGGATTCCCCAAGCAGTGCATAGGAGAAAAGAAAATACACCATCAGAGCTAGATATAATCAGAAAAGTGGTGGCCTGTGCAGAAGCAGATAGGCTCATTCGTGAACTTAAAAATAAAGGGGAAGCAGAATATTTTGAAGTCTGGAACAGATTTTATGACTGGTATAAGATGTGGAACAAAGTGTATATATTGTGATTGGACAGGAGGATAGATAATGCACTAAGTAGGCTACAGTGACGTGCGGTGAGATTTATGGCTGGTGAGGCACTGATGTGTCACACACACACACACACAAACACACACACACACACAA